CCAAAATCTAATGGGCTCTCTGGGTCTGTAAGCTGCCTTGTTGGGAGTACAGTGATTGTATCACACAGTAGTTGCTAAGGGTATCATCTTCTGCCTTCAGGCAGACCTGGCAGGGGTCAGATGTGGGTTTTGTTGAACCAGATAGGTAGGGGTCAAGTGTTCAACCTTGAGTGGGGTTGAGTGTTCAGCATAGAGTGGAGTTGAGTGTTCAGACTTCAGGCAAACAAGCGAAGCTAACATTTGTTCAGCCTGCTCCACAATTAACAATAACTGATGCCTGTTAATATTTTACAGAGGTAATACTTCATGAACATACAACCTAAATTAATTTGAGATATTAAGCCATCATCTGTAGACAGATAATAATTAAAAGGGATTAAATTAACTGTAAAGGGGCTAAGGTTATGGCTCAGCAGTAGAATGCTTGCCTTGCATGTTTGAGGCACTGGGTTCAATCCTCAACATAAGTAAATAGATAAGATAAAGGTATTGTGTTATGTATAGATTAAAAACAAAAAAATATTAACTGTAAAGTTATAAACATTAAAGTGAAAGCCCAGTATTCTTATTTTAAAACTGGTAAAACTGACTTGCTAGATCTTTAAGGCCAAACTTAAAAATTAAGGTTAAATAAAGGGGCCAAGAAAACCAATATTTGGCTCTTGCCCTCTGAGTCAGCCTGAACTCAGGACAGGGGGAAGAGCTTTACAACTCTGGGCCACATAACCTCCTGATAAGGGAGATTAATGAGACCATTAGAGAACAGAAAGCCAATCAGACTGCAAAAGAGGAGGGTCATTAAAAAGGGGAGATATGCCTGATTCTTCCTAGGGAAGCCACATGGTCAGCAAGAACTTGACCCATCCTAATGCAGATGACACTAAAAGAGCTGAAATGCTGCTCACAAGTTCCCCAAGAGTGTCCTCCAAGGAAACTCAGCTGACTCTTACCAATAGATAAAAACAAGGTCAGTTTGACCAGCTTGGTCTTCAACACCTAGCAAAAACAGTTAAGACCAAAGCACAGACATTCCTGGGTATTTAAAAAGAAATAATAGTTATTTTAATGTAACTTAAGATGTACACTTGTGTTAGCACCCTCCAAAAAATAAGTAAGACTGGAGGCAACAAAAGAGAAATTCTTAGGCAAAAATGCCTGATAATAAAAATTGCCAGAGCCAGAAGTTTTTAGTCAGTTTAAGGCCTACAGATCTTCCTAATCTCCTAACAGGTAGATGCAATCAATGTTTATTAATATAATTATCTAACCCTAAATAGCAAAGGGATCTTTACTGAACACAGAGGTCATGCCAAAAAGGTATTTTTATAAAAGTCAGATGACGTTAACAATTTAATTTAACTAAATGTTGTGTGCCGCAGTCTGCCCGGGCACAATTCAGGAGCCACTTGTCAAAAGAAACTAACTTTATTTTTAGAACTACAAATGCCAAACAAAACAGCTCCTCAGGAAAAAACC